CCGAACCTTGGGCCTCGAACCCTGATCCTAGACTTTGATAACCAACCTCATACCTTGTACCCTGACCCCTCGACATTAGACCCCAATCTAAAATCTTGGACTCACACCCGAATCTCAAATCCCGACTCCAAAACCTTAGACCTAACCTTCTACCTTTGACCCTCAACTTCGGCCCTAATACCACCCTTGATCTCAGACCCTAACCTCAAACTCGAACCCCCCTCCCCAAACCCTGACCCCTAACCCCAAACTCCAACCCACAACCTCACATTTTGACCCCTAAAGTCAATTCCAACCCCTCGATCTCAAACTCCGACCACGAACCCCGACCCTATTTTGTAAGTTGTGTTACAACCAAATGAACTTTGAATTGATTGGTATGTGAAAAAAAAAAAAAAAGAATACTTTACTATGACAAATCCTATGAATTGCTCATGATCCCTATGATTTTTGTATTAGGTAGAATAGCCTAGTTTCTAAAATATTGTACCAAGATTTAGTTCCAAACTTATATAACCCTTTCATGTGGCAAAAATATGTACCAAGTGGCACCTATGTGGCATGATGACACGGCGGATCATCACACGAGGCTGCACTTCGGCTTTATTCGTTAGTTTTGTTAAAATTTCGTTTTTATTCTAAGAAATTTTGGGATGTATCATTTTGGTAGGGACTCACTTTTTTAAAATATTTTCTTCTTTTTCTTTTTCTTTTTCCTCTTTTTTGGAGATAACTTAACCATAAGATGATAGTAGAGTGATACGTACTCCTTTATCTTTAACCGGATGTCTTGAGTTCGAGCATTGGGTATGAACTATGAAGTATCCTTTGTGGGAACACTTTACCCGGCCAATGTATGAGACTTCCTGGTGAATTCGAATTTAATCAGACTTCAATGTGTATACCAGACATCAAGTGAGAAACCACAGAGGAGAAAATTAAACATAATTAATTAAGTTATGTACTCGATGGTGAATGCACAGTTGGTTAAATACTTAGATCACCAATGTAATACGTGGATTTACGTGAATTCAATCTTTGTTCCCAAACTCTATATATTACATGTGTTAAGTATTTCTCTAAAATATCTATAAATATTTTATTGTAAATATAATTATTATTGTATATTAACTTAAAATTGTTGTAAGAGTTCTTAAACTTAGACAAAAAATGTTTTTTTTATTGTTAGTTCTCTGTACTGCTCTCATATTTTTTGAATAGCTTCTTTATAATTTCCCAAAATTTTAGTACAATAAAATATCGCACCAGTAATGCCACAATTAAACCCACGTGTTTCACACTATAGCAAAAACCTTGGCACATCTCTTCTATAAATTCAAGAGGTCACTAAGAGCAATAAAGCATCCAAAACAAATTAAATTCCCTAAATCCAACCAAAGAAACAAAAAATGATGACCATCTTACTCTTTCTTTCCCCTGCATTCCTTCCCTTTTCAGCCTTGGCAACTTGCACCACTGATACTTCCAACAAAGTATTGAGAGTTGTAAAGGATTTAGAGGGTAATCCCCTTGACAAAGACGGTAACAATATCGAAATTACTCACTATATAATAAGAACTGGAACACTAAGAGGGTGTTTGGCTAAGCTTATAAGCTGGTCAAACTGGTCAAACTGGTCAAACTGGCTTATAAGCATTTTTTGACTTATCTACGCGTTTGGTAAAATTAAAAGTGCTTATAAGTTAAGTGCTTATAAGCCAAAAGCCATAAGCTGGTCTCCCCCAACTTATCAAATTTCAGCTTATAAGCACTTTAGGTTTGACCAAGATATTTACTATTATATCCCTAAAATACTTCTTTTTAAAACAAAACATTTCATATACCCAATTTTCAGCAGGTTATTATTAGTTTCAGCACTTTTATCCAAACACATAACTGCTTATTTTTTAAATCAGCTTCAGCACTTAAAAGTGTTTTTCAGCACTTAATACTTATCAGCTACCTAAATTAGCTAAGCCAAACGGGCTCTAATTACAATCTTGAGATATTAATTGCAACACTCAAACTACTATAATGAAACTAAGTAACTAATTAAGAATAGAGATAAGAATGGGGATGAGAAGCAGAAATCAGAGAAAGGAGATGAGAAGCAGAGTCCTGAGCCGAAGCTTCAACATAATTCGTATGCGTTTCACTGCCCCACTTTGTGCTATTTATTAATCTCCCCATCTCACATGCTCCACAGGGGTAAACTTGTCCAATAGGTTCATAACAATATCTCGTCCTCAATAAGAACCTTATCCTCAAGGTTCAAGTAGAGCAATATTGAAATCTTAGCATCAACCTTTGTGTCTGATCTCTTTTGCTTGGAATTGAATTTTAAATTCAGAAGTCCATCTGGGTCAAACGGAAATCGAGGCGAATCCACATTAATCCTCAACATATTTTTGTCTAGCTTAGCGCAATGAAGTTGGTCATGTACTTGCACCTGTTGATGCAGGGATGAATTACTTGTATTCCAACTAATTGATTGTGACTGTACTATCTCTCCAACAGTGGCCACATCTTGTTGGCCTGAAGACCTTCCTACGTTAGTCTTCTTTTGAAGCTGCTGAATAATATTTTTGCCTTTAGATCTTTGCTAATACGTGATACTTTGTCACCTTAAAGTCCTTAGCACCTGTACTCCTTATACTTTGCAGCATACTAGCCTTGCCAAGCCATTTCTCAACCATATCCATATTCTCCGGTTCAAATCCAAAAGTAGCAAATGCACGTCTTGAATAGAGTGTACTGACACTATAATCCATTCTTCCTAACATTCCATTGCTTTCAGCAGACAATGCTAATAGCAGAACAATGAGTGTTTTCTCCAAGGCAATATAGCAGCCCTTGTTTCCAACTCCATCGAGTGTGATGAGATATCTCTCTGCCGGCTAGGATCCTACACTCTAGTTACAGAAGCGGAATATGCACATAAGCGAAACTTGCCAGTAGATCGCGACAATAGTTGTGTCTCTAAGGTCTCTATATGACCATTTAGATTCATGGTCTTGGGATTGATTCCTGGATCCCATATGCAAAGAATCAGTACAGTTCCACCAAGAGTAACAATATAGAGATTACCAACAATAGAAAATGAAAAATAATGCAGCTTTAAAGCTCCACCAATATCTAAGTCAATCCTTGGGAGGTTAGAGGTGTTTCTACTGCTACAGTTAATTATACCAGAACAAATTACAACAGAAAAGCACCATGTATCACTCAAAATACTTTGAGTTAAGAGATCTTATCTTTAGAAAATAAAGGGCACGGTCCAATTTCGCACTCACAAGAGCTATGTCAGCATATGGATTCCAGATTTGTCCTTCATGTAACATTGTGTAGTCCCATGAGTGATTTCCATTATGTTTCTTCTTTTTCATTCCAGCTGCAGCAACCCATGTAGAATCATAAATTCTTGGAGGATACAACTTGAGAGTTCCCGCAATAACATCGCCCTCCTTAACACTGGACCAAATAGCAGAGACGATGTACGTCGCAATGCAAAAACCGTTGGATGAGTATTGTTACACATCAGTAACAGCCCATTGTTGAACCAGCTTGTCTGTGCCTACACCAACACTTCCATGGAATATAGCTCGAAAGATGTGGCCCAATGATGTGGCAACAGTTTCAGGAAAAAATGCTAGCGATTCTACTAACAATATTCCTTTTTCTCTAAGTAGTCTATTCCATAATGTTGAGGCCATGAGAATATCAGGCGTCAAGCTACACAACACATCACATAATGCACAATTTCATGTACCTCCAAGGTATATGGTAAGAAACCTTGAATCAGGATCAAAGGGAAGGATTCTGCCTATAGGTTGGTCGTGAGGGGAAGCAGTAATCATACATGGTTGTGCTAGTTGATCATCAAACATGACAAGGTAACTGTAAGCATACTGTGAAAACTGGTTGAAAAATTTCATTGAACACCTGGGTTTCAGGACTCACTGAGTTGTTCATCACAAAATCTGCAGCTTTCATGCCAATTTCGTTACCAGTTATTTCAACAACCACTTTGTAAGCATTTCTTCTTGAATTGTTATTCTCAGAATTATCCATGGGGCTGGAGAATCCTTTATCCAAATCAAAATCAACCTTTAATTCTGTGGCAATAAGAAGTGCTGAGACTTCCTTTGATTCGCACTTATCGTCCAAAGACACAATCACGTCTGAGTGCACTAGAGCATCAAGGATCGCCTTGGAGGAGGTAGAGAGCGTGTTCTCCATGTTGTCGGGGTATATGAGCATACGAGCATTATTTTCCATCATCATCCTTAGCAAATCCTGTATGACGTTTAGATGATAATGGATAATAGTAGAAGAGTAGAGATCCATGGAGCCCAAATGATGAAAGCACCAATGTAACAATACTGAAATTACTCACTATATAATAAGAACTGGAACACTAATTACAACCTTGAGATATTAATTGCAACACTCAAACTACTATAATGAAATTAAGTAACTAAGAATAGAGATAAGAATGGGGATGAGAAGCAGAATTCAGATAAAGGAGATGAGAAGAAGAGTCTTGAGCCGAAGCTTCAACATAATTCATATGCCTTTTTTTCTTTTTTTGTGATCTGATCTTCTTCTTTGATCTCTGCTAACTTGATGAAAAGTGTTATAGTTTTACAAATCTACAAGTCCAAATATCTTTCAGACAAAAAAATTACTTTTGAGCTTATGCCTTATAGAAGCCAGTTGTTCCTTGTCTAGAATGTATGGACTTGCTGCAAGTCTTGGAAGTGCGCTATCGCTGAGAAAAACTGATTCAGATTCTTCAATGCTCCATTTTGCAAGGGCATCAGCAACTTGATTTGCTTCTCTGTAACAGTGCCTGATTGTGCTGTGGTTCTGATGCAGTAGTTCTCTAATCTTCATTATGTGTTCTTGCAGCTGCCACAATATTCTTGTGTTTCCTTTGACCATATCAACAACCACCAATGAATCCAATTCCAAAAATGAAATTAGTGTGACCGTGGGAACTACACCATTTGATGCCAATAGTTGCAGCCATTTCTTCTGCTAATATGATGGTTCCTCTCCCCCAACGATTGTGCAAATGTCATAACTAACGTGCCTGTCGAGTCTCTAACTATGCCACCAGCACCAATCATCCCCTCCTCATTTCTGCTCCCATCGGTGTTGATTTTAACATATTGATGAGGAGGTCTTTCCCACCTAACAATGACACAATCAATTCTAGGGACAAGTGCGATAGCTTGTTCACAAATTTCGAACCAATTCCAAGACCAGTCTTTATCGCGATGGTATTTAGAGATAGCCCATCTCAAGTGATAAATTATCTGATGTTTCACTCTTATAGCAGAAACTCTTTGAGACCCATATCTAGAGGCACACCTTGCCTTCCAAACTTCCCAACATATGATAACAGGAGTAATTCTCAGAAGTTCCTGGTGTAGGCTATTCTTAGGCTTGGCTGAACACCAGTTGATAAGTAAAAGCTTGATCGACCTAGCTCCCCATTCTATTCCCAATGGAATACAGAAGGTCTTCCACATGTTAACTGCTAGTTCCTCAGTCAAGAAAGTATGCATCATTGTCTCTTCTTGTGACAGTCTACAACAACAACATCTAGAGGCTAGATTCAGTCCAAATTTAAGAACTACATCATCAAAAGGCAATTTTCTTTTTAGTAACCTCCAGACCAAAAAGGACATTTTAAAAGGAATATGTTTGTGCCATATCCTTTTAAGGATATCGTCTTTGACTTGTTTTTGCCTCACTATCTCCCAACATGAGGAAGTTGTGAAGAAGCCATTTGGATGAGGCATCCAGATAGAGGTGTCAATACTGTTTGGGTCACCAATAACAACTTTGAGAATGTGTTCAGCCAAATATTCAGGTAGATGCAAATGATCAATTTGCCATTGACCCTCGTAAATTAAATCTTTAACTTGTTGATCTGGTGGTGTCTCTTCAAAGGCTATGATATGGGCGATTGGCCCCATTCTGGTCCAATTGTCCCACCAAAGGCTAGAGTTCCCTAAGTTGATTCTCCATAGCATATGTTCCTCAGTCTTGTCTTTAACTTGTAGTAGTTTCTTCCATCCATGAGATTGACCGTTCTTCCAAACCTTGGACATTGGGTGAGCAAGTCTGCAATATTTGGATTTCAAGAGTTCGTCCCATAAGGATTTGCATGTTCTGAACCTCCACCACCTCTTTATAGCCAAAGCTTCACTAAAGTCACTCAAAGATCTGAAACCAGCTCCGCCTTCTTCAGTAGGGAAACACATTTTCTGCCAGGAACTCCAATGATACCTCTGCTTACCTTCGTTTGAACCCCAAAAAAACATGGCTAACTATCTCTCAATATGAATAAAAGATGTCTTAGGCGGTTCCAATGCGGCAAACGGATGAGTGGGTTGAGACATTAACACGTGTTTGATGAGTATTGATCTTCCACCAATAGATAGTAATTTTCCTTGCCATCCTGCCACCCTCTTTACAATCTTAGACACTGCCTCAGAAAATAAGGAGATCTTCTTCCTTCCCACATACAACGGACAACCGAGGTAAGTAATGGGAAATTCTTTATGTTTGAATCCTGTCAAAGTTTTGATCATCTGTAATTATGTGCTTCAGTGTTTGGTGCTACCAAGAAGCAACTTTTGTCTACATTAATTAACTGCCCTGAACATGCTTCATAGTTGTGAAGAATTTCCTTAATCATCATTAGGGATCTCTGGTTACCTGATGAAAAAATAATGATATCATCAGCATAGGCCAAGTGTGTAATCTGAGGTGCATGCCTTGGCAAATAGAAGCTTCTAAACTGTGGATTAGAAGATAATTGATTGAGCATCACAGATAGGACCTCAGCTCCTAAGATAAAGAGTGCAGGGGACAGTGGATCCCCTTGCTTCAGACCCCTAGTGGAATTGAAGAACCCTTGCCTGGTTCCATTTATGAGAGTGGAGTACCAAACATTAGATATCGATCTCCAAACAAGATTAATCCACATCTCTGAAAATCCAAATCTTCTCAAGACTGCTATAATAAAGTGCCAGTCGACCCTATCATAGGCCTTTGACATGTCTAATTTGAGGACGACATTCCCGCCATCATTCTTCTTTTTGATACCATGGATTATTTCTTGTGCTAACAGTACATTTTGGGTGATCAGTCTCCTATGTACGAAACCGCTTTGATTCTGAGATATTAGTTTAGGGAGAATTGGCGCCAATCTAGAACTCATAATCTTGGATATAATCTTGTTTGAGTAATTGCTATGACTGATGGGCCTCAGATCAGTGAATGATGTAGGATTATCAACCTTTGGTATTAAAACTAGGCATGTACTGGTGTAGAATTTGGTTAGTTTAGCTCCATTGAAGAAAGCTTGAATAAGTTCCACTAGGTCCCTTTTGATGATGTTCCAGCAACTTTGGTAGAAGCGACCTCCAAATCCGTCTGGGCCAGGAGCACTATTAGTTTCCATACCAAAAATAATTGCTTTGATTTCCTCTTCATCTGGAATCTGCGATAGTTGGCGGTTATCTTCGTTAGTCATAAGATGTTCGAGGCATTGCATGTGTTAGAGATGAGGATTTCCATCTGCTTCAAATAATTTCTGAAAATGGTTGACAGCTTCTTCCCCAATATCCTTGTCCCCCGATATCCATTGTTCATCGTGATTTTTGATTCTATGTAGTGTCAGCCTCCTCCTCCTCTCATTTATGATAGCATGAAATTATTTATTGCTAGAGTCCCCCTCTTCTAGCCATCTGATGTTTGCTTTTTGCCTCAGTAATGATTCCTCGCATTTGATCCATTAGTATGCTCTGCATGTGCTTTATGCATCTCTGCCCCTTGCATCCTCCCTATTATTATCACTGTATTCTACTTGTAGTAGCTGCAATTTGTTTTCCCATTTCTTGAAATTGGTGTATACATTACCAATATGCTCTTTAGACCACATACTAAGTTGTCTACTCAATAGCTTGAGTTTTTGCTGGAATCTCCATATAACATTTCCTTCAATGTCAACCTCCCAAGAACTTTGAACTACATTTTGGAAATCTGGCTGATCTGCCCAAAAATTCAGAAACTTGAAATACCTGATACCTTTAAAGTTAGAACTAGACCACCTAACTAGCATAGGTGTATGATCTGATCCAGTGCTAGTTAAATGTTCTACACTGACCCTCGAAAATTTAGCAGTCCATTCTTGATTGATGAAAACCTTGTCAAGCCTCTTCCAGATTCGATTCCATCTATCTCTATTATTGCACCAAGTAAATCGAGGACATGTGAAGTCGACGTCTACCATGCCACAATCATCCATACAGTCAATGAAATCCCAGCTCTTCTCCATTCTATGTGGATTTTCCCTTTTTTTCTCCTCGGGACTCATAATAACATTAAAGTCCCCACTGATGCACCACAGACCCTCTATGTTAGAATTGCATTCTCTCAGACTATCCCATAATGGAACCCTCAGATGTTCTTTATTTTTAGCATAGACAAAGCTCATCCAGAAAGGTTACACATCGCCGTTTTTAATAAACTTCAAAGTAACTAGTTGATGATCATTTGCTATGACAGAAGTTTCAAACTCAGCTGACCAGAACAACCAAATTTTACTATTAACATTAGCCATACACTTCTCCAAGCCCAAAGTTCTTCTATACTGCTCAATTTGAGTGGCTTCTACAAATGGCTCTTGAACTGCAACAATCATAATCTTGTACATTTTTACTAAAAATGTTAGTCTAGCAAAAGCCCCTCTGGACTTAACACCCCTTATATTCCATATGATCGTCTCAATCATGGGGGTGTTTAGTAGATGGGGCACAACTTTGGGATGCCTTTATTTTGGCTCTTGTTAAGGGACCAATGGTGTCTTTCTTTCTGACTTCACCTTTTCTTGGGGATAGATTTCCTTTCATGTTAAGGTCATTTGTATGTTGTATAATAGCATCACATGGTCAACTTCATTCCAGGATGAGCCAGGAGCAAAAGCCTTGACTAGATCTTCCTCATCTGATGAATTACATTCCTCGTACTCATCCACCTCTTTAATTCCGCTAACTTCATCTTGATTAGAGTCCAGATTATTGACATCTTCCTCTATATCCAATTGTGCATCAATAGTCCGTAATGGTTTAGGCTGGAGAAAGTTTGAGTCTTCAGCAGCTTTATCAATTCCTGCCGGTTGAAACTCAACTATAGGTAGAGAACCTACATTAGACCCAACAGTGCTCTCAAGAATAGGAGCCAAAGGGGTGTGAATCTTCTTGTTCACTTCACTCATCACCACAGAACTTGTACCACTAGCAGGGGATGTAAAACGACTCGCCTGTGGAGTACTACAAGTTACCTCTGTTGGGGTGTGCTTCGAAGACTCCCCAATGAGATCTCGTGCATTAGATAGAAACTTAACATTATTCGGATTTGAGTCCTCATGATCCTCTACCAAATTAAGAAGGTGTTGGAAAGAGTTCCTAACTGGAATTGTAGAGGTAGCTGGCCCAGGGATATCAGCTCTGATGGGTCCAACCTCAGAATCAGATAGTGAAGAATGATTCATAGCATCGTTACTATTCTTTGCATCAATAATCACCACTGAATTAGTGTTAATCAGATGTTGAATATGATCTTGTTTTGCCCGAGCATCTTTATCTGAGGTTGGCCTCACTTGCCATTTCATGATATTCTTTTTGGCTAGGTTAGCTCTAATCCCCTTTTGAATTCTTGTAATGACCCGGCTCGTTATTTAATTCATTTCAGTAACACCGTAATATGCTTCCCCGTGTGTTGGTATTCGTGTTTGATGAGTTTGAAGTGGTTCGGATGGAATTTAGATAGAAATGAGACACTTAGTCTCTTTATGGAAGGTTTAAGTTGGAAGAGTTGACCCAAAGTTCACTTTCGGGTTAGAGGGCTCGGAATGGATTTCCGACCACTCGACTAGTTCCGGGGGATGATTTATGACTTAGGAGAGAAAACGGAACTTGATTTGGAGGTCCGGTGTGGAAGTTAGATAGGTTTGCCGAAGTTGGAATTTTGGAAGATTCCGGTTGATAGGTGAAAATTTGATCCGGGGGTCGGAATGAAATTCCGACAGTTGCACTAGCTCCGTTAGGTGATTTCG